CACGATGTGAGATATTATTATTAGTGCTTCTTATTTAAAAACCAACCAAACAGAAAACAGTAATATCATGATTCTCTTCCTACTTTCACAATAGAAAAGCAGTTTAAAGTTGAATCTATGAGAAACTATCAATCTGAGACTCATCCTGCTGAACAACTTGGCCAGATGGCAATAAGATGATAAACTACTAATAATATCTCACATTGTGGAACGTTATTAAACCTGTAAATGAGTCCAGATTCAGTCCTGAGGGCTGCTATCCGCCATGATGGAGGAAAAACTGCAGCAGACGATTAAAAAGCAAAGCTGAGCTAAAAGGAACTAACAGGTTCCTGGAGACGGAGTGGATGGAAAATTATAAGCCCCGCCCCAAAAATGGACTCAAGTAAAGTAATGATACTGAAAAGAAGTACTTAAGTACAGTCAGGGGCGGATTTAGGAAACGTGGGGCCCTAGGCAAAGACAGGCAGGGGGCCCTCAATTTCCCTGTTAGCCGTGAAGAAGTGATGGAGACTGTAATCAGGGGCCGATTTAGCATCAGGCAATACTAGGCAGCTGCCTAGGGCCCCAACTTCCTGGGGGCCCCATAAAGCTCTGTTTCCATGTCTGGTTAATCCAACTATTCCTTATTTCTGCTCATTAATTATGTTTTTGATAAAAATCCTTTGGCTAAAATGCCATCAGAACGCTGATAATAGAAAGGGACGAGAAAAGAGGGACAAAACCTAGAACAGATAATGGATGTCTATTCTATTAACATTTATTTACCTAATAGTGAATCTCCCCCTGAATACAATAATCAAGTAAATATACTTTATTACTTTCCAAAAACTGCACATCCAACTTTAGGTCCATCTAACACGGAGGCAGCAGGACAAAAACATATTTAGTCAGCATCTGGTTGGTCAAGTTCTCCTGTATAAATGAGACAGGTCTATAATTTTCATCATCAGTTCATTTCTGCAATGAAAAAAAAATAGAGCAAAAATCCAGGAAATCATATTGAAGGATGTTAAATAATTATAACATTTTGTGGAGAATAATCTGTCCTCTGAACACCAAACTTTTGTGAAGCATGGGGGTGGAAGCATCATGCTGTGGGGCTGGTTTTCTGTAAAGTGGAGAGGATGATGAAGGAAGAAAGAATGAGGAAACATATGGTAAAATTTTACTCCCAAACCTCCTTCCATCAATGAGATCATTGAAGATGGAAGGTGGCTGGGTCTTCCAGCACGACAATGATCCAAACACACCCCTAGGCAACCAAAGAGGGTGTTCCGTTTAAAAACATTTCAGGTCCTGGAGCGGCGAAGCTGCTCTCCCATCAAATTGATTCAAAGTTTTCTGTCTAAGGAAAACCAGCTGATTGCATCGAGTCATTGACTGGAAGGCAATCCCTCACACTAAGCATGCTAGTAGCGACAGTGATCAGACCAAAGCCTATGCTACAGATTATCAAGTTAAATGCTTGTTTTCTTTTATCATTCTTGAAGCGGATCTTTGATGAAAATGTAAAAAATGTTTCTCCTAGCAGAACGTAAAGAAGCATCTGGCCGCGTATGAACCGGTAGATGACAGGAAGATCCAGCTGTTTGAACAGGAAACAGAGAAAGATGAAAGGATTTCAATGCAGCTGTGTCTCATTTCAGACACCATGACCTTTAACCCCAGCAGCCACAATCACTTCCTGCTCCGCTGTGAGATAAACGTGTCCGAGGACCTCGGCTTCGCTCTGTCAGTCCTCAAAGATGGATCCCTCCTCCAGGGCGTTGACTCTGACCACGGACCCGCCGTCAGCGGCGCCGTCACTCTGTCCCAGACCGTCTCCCTGACAGGAGGACAGAAATACGAATGTCTGCTGCTCCTGAGGGGAGATCTGGTGACCAGCAGCACCTTCTACACCAAACCCACAGGTGATCACCTGATCAGGAGGAATCAGTGTGGCGTTCGCACTGAACCCGCCGCACTGACCGCCTGAACGACCCCTCAGAGGGACGTCATTCTACTCTACTCTATTCTGTTCTAGTTTAAATCATCTAAGCTTTTGCAGCCTGAATGGTCGGCGCGAATCTGTTAGCATTTCTATGCTAGCTGCAGGTTTTGCATGATTCTTTTCACTCTGATTTATTTATACATCAGAAGCAATCATGCATTTAATAAAATGTGATTTATCTCTTTAAACTCAGCACCTGGAGGAGGAGGAGAGAGCCAATGGTCTTCATCCGTTATGGAAAGTGAGTTTTTGGAAAATTTGATTCTTCTTTTCTTTCTAATGACCGTTGCTGTGGAGAAACCAGAGTGAATTGAAGGTTTATCCACTTTCATGAGCTTTGACAGGATGACAGGATGTTTGACCTTCGCCATCTTTAACCAGTTCTTTGTTTCTGGGTAGGGGTGGAGCAGATCCAGGAGCCGTGGATTCTGTATGGATCTCTGCTGCTGGTGCCCATCGTGGTCCTGCTGGCCCTGCTTACAGCCATCCTGATGTGCTGATAGACCAGGTCATGACAACACAACCCAGACCAGATGGACACAGAGGAAGGACTTTTCTCTCCCTGCTACCTTACAATCAGCATCACTGACTGATTTAGATGAATTATTGGTCTGATTCTGGTCTCCATGATGTCACTCAACCCTGATAATCATCATCAATTAAAGACATTATGACATTTCTAGTAAATCTGTTGACATTCATTTATTTGTGTCGCCTTCATTAGTTCTTTAATATGGAGAGCCATTTCAGCCAAAATTAAATAAATAAATAAATGGGTGAAATA